ATTAGGGTTTAGCACAAGATAATAAAACCTGTACCCCTATTTTTAGACTATTCTTTCGGCCAACAGACCAGTGCTGCCATTTTGTCCTTTTTCCGGACAGATCTGTCCTTTTTTTAACGGCTTTATCCGGAAAAAATTTCAAACATCCCCTATCCGGAAATCTGTCCTTTTTTCAAAAATAAGGTTTTGAGTGTTATTTTTGCTAGTCGAAAGTGTATAAACCTGTTTTTCTGCCTTTCTAACCACCATTTTTATAGTTCGGCTCTTAAAATATAATTTTTTTTACAAATTATTAAAGAGACGTAAAGCAGTCGATGGATTTTCTTTATGGTATGATTTTTTCTGTAGCAAAAAAAAGAGGAAAACACTTTAAAAATTTCTCAATTTTTACTCTCTGCTTTTTTGTCAGAAAAAAATTTCAACGACTCTTATTCGGGTTTGACGCAGATTAAATTTTTTTGTATTACCAATATAGTTACTTGAAATGCTTTTATTATTTTAATAATTTTAGATTATTACGTATACGCACAAAAATTTACCATGGTAAAATGATCAAACAAAGAAGGTTGTGAGTCGGGAGCAGTAGATCATTACATAATCGAATTTTATTTAAAATCCATTTATACTAAGTAAATATAAAACCCATTGGTAAAAACAGAAAAATGGAGGCGCATTTACTTTTGTCCTTTTTTTTGTCCTTTTTTTAAATTTTTTGTCCTTTTTTTCCCTGTTTTTTGTGGCTTATCTGTCCTGTTTTTCAAGCTAAGCGATGGCAGCACTGCAACAGACCCACGCCCATTCATATGAATTCTCGTGGCTGGCACGTTTGGTCAAATAAATGAATTTAATGAATAAATCCATTAACACTAAATGCACAAATGAATACTTGTTGGAAATAGTAAAATTATTATATTTAAATAGGTAAGTAATAAGGAACTCTCTTATCCTTAAGCTCATAGATTCTATGCGAAAACACTTTCTTTTTGCAATTAGCATATCCAAAGTAAATTTAGCATTTTTCCTGCTTTGAATATTTAAAATAAATAATTTTTAATGCTACTCCAACAGTATTGTCATTGAACGAAGTATCCCTGCGAAAAGGTTAGGTTCATAACTCTGTTGTAAATGTACATAATCACCAAGCTTATGACCCATTAAAACTTGTTTTAACAACATAGTAATTCCAAAAGGAAAACATTGAAAAGCTACATAAAAGTGAGAGAACCAGGTAAAACCATATATCAACATTCTTGAGAATCTCACAGGGCATTGCCCATTCGTCGGATGAAAGAATAAACCATGCTAAACATTGATAAGCCATAAAACCAATTGGAGTCGCCGGACCACAGAAATTAGCAAATTAATCACGTGCCCTCAACTTTTTCTGCTCGCCCACGCCCGAATTTTTTCAGCGATATTTTTTTTTTTAATTTTTTGGTTTTCTATTTTGGCGCAATAGCATTTCCGTACACTTGGGGACACAGAATCTCGGCCCCGGGGGAAGTTGGTTTAGCTGGCTTAAAGAACTCGTCACCAAGTGCTCGGTTCTTTTCATTAACAACTCGATCATGATCAGCATCGAAAAGGCCGAGAGCCTGTTTAGAATTCTGGGGGAGATCGGAAACCTGATTGGCGTTTTAAAATGCCCTCGGCCCGTCCGCAGATTTATAAATTTTCGGGGTTTCTATTCTTGACTCTTTTTGCTGGTGTGTAAGGGGATTTGCATAAATATGCATGTGCTGCCAGCGAGCACTGGTTACCAACTTAATACTTTATTCCCGACCCAATAGAAGTCGCCACTTGGCCCTTATTCAATTTCGTCTAGTGAAAACCAGTCGGGCGACTCCATAAACCGGGGGGCAGCTCATTTAACACCCATCTAGGCAACGATATCAGTCAAGGCGAACAAAAATAAAATACTGCCCAGAGATATGCGTCATAAACTTAATCAAGAACTTTTTGTGGCCGACAGACAAGAGATGCGGTGATTAAACAGACATTGAATTCGAAGATCAAGGAAAAACGATTTAGGACCAGATCTGCAAATAGTTAAGATACCTTAGAGTTCGTTCTTGTTGGTAGAATATCTTCAAGTCAATACCCATCTATTTATCTTAAGATCAAGTTGTAGAAAATTATTCTTGGTCAGAACCAGTTTTTTGGCCAACACGAGACCAATGTTAAAGCTGAGCTCACGGGGTATAAATATAAACATTGGAATCCGAAAAGAATGAATTATATTCGCTTCCAGATTCCCATTTACATTTAACCTCGTGACCCTTGAATCGATGTGGGCAAGGTTATTGGTTCCCTATTATTTATATATCATAATCAAATCGATTCCTAGATGATTTGGAAATCCCCCGCCTCATTACACATTACGCAGCCGGCGGATTCGGCCAGACACTTCCGCCTCGAACTCTTCCGCATAGATGTAACAGTAAACAAGTTGCGGACCGGACCTCCTAAGAGTTCGAGCCTCACCCGCGGACCCAGCAATTAAAATATGTAAATGGAAACAAAGCCAAACAAAAAGGCCAATGCTGCGCGAAAAAACGACGCCAACAGAATCGAAGCTAACCTCGCGTTTGTCTTTGCTGCAAATGAAGAGATGTCGTTGAAGCCGCATTGGAGCGACGAAAGACCCGGCAGTACTTGGAATACCCTCTCTATAAGACTGAAGACTCTATAACCTCATTTTCCCTATACGGTTTTTAAATATTTATGTAGTCTTTTAAAAGTATTATCTAGTTTTTTGATATGGTATGATAATGTAACTGAAATTTACAATTTCTGAAGATTTCATATATTATACAGGAACACCTTAATACAATATCTTTAACAAGTATGTATATATTTTTAGATCTGATATTTAAAAATATTGTTTTTTAATTAGGTAACTGATAATACTTAAAAGTAAATGAAAATGCCAAAGAAATTATCAACCTAAAATGAAATTATTTATTTTCAAGATCAACCATAAACTATTTATAAAAATCATAACACCCCACCTCTTAGAGCAGTGAAAAAGTGAACCCCGAAATGGATTTGCTGTCTCGGTTTCGTCTTCAGCTGGCTGATTAAACATCAGGAAATACAAAATGCTAAGCAGGCAAAAGCAAATTGTAACAGGGCCCAAAGCAAACGAGTTCTCAGGCCAAAGGCAAAAGCTTAGACCGAAGCCGAAGCAATTGATAAGCGGCCAAAACTCGTTCGCATTTCGACCGTTTTCACGGGCCGAGGGTGAGAGGGTGGGGGAAGTAGAGGAGGGTTAAAGCCAAATAGCCCCATTGACTGATTATTGTTATTAATGCGAATGCGGCGGTGTCTTGCTGGTTTTTCGCCATTTGCATTGACATTGACTTTGACCGAGAAATTATAAATCGAAGCCAATGTGACGCATACGTGCGATGCCTCGTTGCGTTTATGCGGCGGTGTTGCTGGTGGTGGTTATATGCAAATGCAATATAAAGACTGCACTTTATTGCTTTTATTGACACTCTACAATGTTGGGGTGATTAGCATGCAGCCAAAGATTGCATTTATATTCTGTTACTCAAAGTTATGGGTTCGTAAGTGAAGAATATTCAGTGTACTTGAGCCCATAATTACTACTCTGGACACACTCACCTGATCACAGAGCCATTGAACCACCCACTAACCCACCATCAATCTTCCAACCCATCCACCCACCGCAGACATTCGACATTCAGTCATTGGGTCAAAGCCACCGATCGTTCAAGTTCAAGCCCCAAAGAGATTAGAAAAATTACTCAAGACTAGATCAAAAAACGACATTGACCGGCATGTCACGGCACCGGCACACAATCAAAAATAGAAAACTTTAGTGGCCATTAGCAGAGATGTCGGTTGGTCGCTCGGATTATTTGCAATTTTTAGCATGGCAAGGGGCAAAACTTCTGCCCATCCAAACCGATTCGATCCGATACGATACGATCCGTGCCGAGTGTCCGAGATCTTCGCATTTCGTTATTGTCTTCTATTTCCTGGTTGGATCCGCTTCGCTGCCGACGATTTGGCATTATCATGAATTAATTGTTGCATATTATAGCGACAAGCATTGACCTCAATAGAGAGATTTGATAAACACTACATACGTGAAGCAGAACGCGTAAGTAGATGCGAATTCGAAACTAATAACTTTTATTGGATTTCTACTCTAATGGATTCATATGTGCTCATTAGAAGCCGAGCCGGCAAACAAGACCAAAGTTTAGCTTCCTTAGCTGGAACCATCATTTCTACACAGAGCGCCGGGGTGTTGGGATACTTGCAAGTTGATGCTTAAGAAGCTTGACTGTGTAAACATCTATCCATCTTTTTATTCCTCTCTAAATACTTAAGGCAACAATTTTGTATACGATGATTCGACAAAAAGCATTACTAATGATGTGTTCCATTTAATGCCATATGTTAAAGCTCTAGTTAAATCTGAACCAATCGTTAAGAGCTTACTACAAATTTAGCATATAATTAAAAAATTTAATTATTCAAAAAAATATAATTTGGTACTCCCCTAAAAGAAATCGTGCTGTGCTTGTGGATTAACTGGAGATTATAATATTTTCCTCGTTCCTTGCTTCCCTTTTCCTTTTTTGGCTCATAGTTTTTTTTATTAAATGTTTTTTTGAACTGCTTTTTAATTTGGATTTTTTCTTAAAATATAGATATTTTAAAATTGAACAATCAAAAGTAGAATATTTAACTTTTACAATTAATATGGGCTTAATAAATATAAAAACGTTCGGTATTGAAAAACAGGACACCCAATCGGATATAACACAGATCTGTTCCTGATACTTAGGAAAATTGTTTCGATTTTCTTTGCTAATAAATTTAAAAATAAGGAACAACCTTGAAGTTCAAACTTTAAAAATTAAAAATCCGTTACTTTACGGTATTTTTAGAAAGCAACAGAGAATGTTTTGGTATATTAGCATGAGTTGCAACGGGCGGTATATTTCCACGGCCAGTCAGCGGTCACATTGTGCGTTATCTTCTTATTGGGATTGGAATTGGATCCACTTTCTTCGCAAAAAGCCCCATTGTTTGTGTTTCACTTGGCGCCACCCCCGCCGCCCACCGGATTTCAGAGCGGACATGGCAACGCAGCGGACGACCGCCTGCATTTAGTGACCAGCCAGCGACGAGCGATGACCGTTTGGGGCATAGAGGCCATCACACTGAACGGATCGGCGGCAAAGGAGAAGGGTGAAATTCGGGTGATTCCGGAGGCGGGAGCCATGAACTCCGTGGAGCGCTACCGGCAGGAGTGGCAGCTGCTGCTGGAGAATCTCGATGCGGAGCCGGAGAGCCTGCGGCACGCGGCCTTCGCCGGCGACCTCAAGATGTCCAAGTTCCGGAGCATTCACTGGGCCCTCCTGCTGCGCGTCCTCACCTCGGAGCACCGCAGCTGGGTCAGCCAGCGCCTCCAGCAGCGTGTGAGGTACGACAAGTTCCGGTCGGACTACGTACGCAATCCCCATCAACTGGCGGTGGATTGCAACGATGATCCGCTGTCGCAGTCCACGCAAAGCGTCTGGAATCAGTACTTCAGCGACCAGGAGCTGTTCGCCGTCATCCGGCAGGATGTGGTGCGCACCTTCCCGGGCGTCGACTTCTTCCGCAAGCCACTCGTGCAGAACGCCATGGTCAACATACTGTTCTACTACGCCCGCGAGCATCCGTACATGTGCTATCGCCAGGGAATGCACGAGATCCTGGCTCCCATCATCTTTGTGGTCTACAGCGATCACCAGTCGCTGCTGCACTTCAGCGAGCTGGCCAAGACGGACATCAATCCCACGCTGCTGGACGTGCTGGATCCCGCCTATCTGGAGGCGGATACCTAGTGAGTATTACTATATATTTGTAAGATCTACATATCAACGTATTTCCCAACAGCTCTTTGTTCTCCCGACTCATGGCCTCCGTGGAGTCATACTATCGCGTGTCGAATCTGGTCTCCACACCCGGTGGCCACATCGAGCAGCGGGCCGAGGTGCGTGGCAGTTTGCGGGTGCAGCAGCAACCAGAGCTTATCGCTACCCATTCCTCTTTTTTTAGAGCCCCGGGGACAATGAGACGCCGACGGAGGCGGAGGTTATCGGCCAGCTGAACTTCATACGGGACAAAATACTCGCCAAGCAGGACCAGCACTTGCATCACTATCTACAGAAGATGGAAATCCCGCTGCACATATTCGGCATGTAAGTTGGAAGTGGGAAATGGGGGGTTCCATTTGATGGGTACTTTTAGTTAGTATAATATTTCTTTCTATAGAAATTATCAGTATTTTGTTAATTAATTTGTATTGATATGAAAAGAGGAAATAAGATGACGAAAAGCTGACTCAATATTATTTTATCATAGTTATCTAGATAGTTATCAGATGATGTCATTCTCCAAATTTCAAGACCTACCCATTATAAATATTCAGCAGTTGATAGATAAAATTTATATGGGATTCCTTCTTTCACACACAATCTTTATTAGCAGAAATTTGTACCGAAATACTTACAAAAAATTTCACAATTAATTTTAAATAAGTACAGCTAGTAAAAGGGTTAAAAACTATATTTTTCTGAATTTAAATGTAAAATATTTCTTAAAATTAATTAATTAATCGCCTTTCTCTGCTTAGTCGATGGCTAAGGCTTCTCTTTGGAAGGGAGTTCATGCTACTGGACCTTTTGCTGCTGTGGGATGCCATCTTCGCGGACAGCGATCGCTTCGACCTGCCCAACTACATTCTGGTGGCTATGCTGGTCCACATCCGTGATAAGCGTGGGTATTCCCTTCTAGTGCTTCCCGCTCTGAATAGTCAATAATGTCGTAACGAATTCTGATTACAGTGCTACTTAGCGACTATACCACATCGTTGACCTATCTGATGCGCTATCCGGGCAATGTGGACGTTCATCTGGTGCTGCGACATGCCCTATTCATGCTCAATCCCAAGCAGTTTGACTATCCCCCGAATGCCTTCACCTGTGTGTCCTTCGCAAACAGCTCTGCGGGCAAGGAAGTGCCTCCTCCCGCGGGTCAACGCCCGCGCACCTCCTCGGAAACCTCATCGGGGACGAATAGTGGCAGCCAAATCGATCGGCAGATCACTTTCATGCAGGAGCGTAATGCAGCGAATTCCTCGGCTTTGGCCAAACTGCACGATACTCACCGCGTGGCCATGGATGGATATTTGGAGAACGTAAGTGTACTCGAATGGGAATTATTACTATATTATTATTATAACTGGATACTCTAGAGAAGAGATAGTTAATTAAGCAAAACAATCTTAACATACCAGCTATTAAATATAATCCTCAAATCGTAATTAAGATTCTTAAGAAACCATAATACAAGGTTTTATTCGGATTTATGTAACAAGAATTTGGTTAAGATTTAAATTAATTGTTCTATATCAACTACTAGAAATGATATTATATGTTCTTCCAGAGTCCTGAACTACTCCGATTGGAGCTGAAGAATGCGCAAACAGTAATTAAGATAGCGCGCAGCAAGCTGCAGAACTACCTGGGCACAGTGCGTCATCATGTGGGAAAGCAGGCGAATGGCAACGAGGAGCTCAGCCGGACTCTGGACGGGATCGAGGAACTTTGCAGCTTCCTGGACGTAAAGTTCATGTTTCCGCTGCACGCGCGATCGGCGCCCATCGACCAAGCTCTGGAGGCCAACGAGCAGAAACAGCTGAACACGATTGCGATACCGCCAAAGGCAACGCCCTCTGCTACTCCCGCGACTGCACCTGTTGCGCCACCTGCAGCTGGGGGCTATCAGTTGCCCGAGAACGCCTTCATGCACAGCTCCATGCGGCGCCTCCTCGGCGAACTGCGCGAGATCGAGCTGTCTACGATAACGAGCGACGAGAAGCCCGGAAATGCGGTGCTACAAAACGGATTGCCAGCTGCGGAGCCCCAACAGAGGCACCAAAACGAATTGAGCTGATCGAAAAGATGCTCTTCTAACGACTGAATTTGAATTTAGACTTAAATAGAGCAACCACAAAGTGGCTGAATCGGAATAATTGAAGAGTATCATTAAAAGACATACAGTTTATATATATTTGGGTAGGACTTGGATAAGCCTGTAAACCTTAAATCAATCCAATTTATAAAATGCTTAAAAAAAAAAAAAAAACCAAAATATTTTACTGGTGCACTGGATTGGTTCCGAAACAAAACGTGCCAGTTTCGGAATAAAACAGATTCGATTCGATTTCAGGGGTCAATGCAGAAATGTCGTGCTGATTGTATTGAAAACAATTCCTTTGTTATCGCGAATGAAATAATTATCTTGCTTGCAAGTATCCATCTTTAACATACAATATAACTGATTGAGGCGAGTTTAAATAATGACAAATAATGACAAAAACTATAACTAGGCATGATTCATATTTCTTATGCGCCTTATGGTCTACGGTTATGGTTCACCATCGACCGGAACGTTGTCATCTGACCACCGTTGCTGTTCGGACCACTCCGCATTATGGGTGTCGTTGTTATGTTTGCCGGCGGCTGATGCATGGGTGTCTTGGTAATAGTGATCATCTTGGAACTGCTGTTATTATTAACGCGTATCTGCCGGAGCATGGCTAGAGTATTTCCATTGGCCATAATATCCGCCTGTGGAGTGGATGGAGCTTCCGAGGGTCGCACGTTTCCGTTGGTGCGACTCTGTGTGGTTAGCTTGTCCAGCGGCACACAACGCACGGATTCCGTATCATAGCGGTTGGTCACCTGCACTTGGGAGGAGCTCAAAATGCGTCGTATATTTTCCGGCAGCTCTTTTTGATTTCCGTTGATGGTCACCGGGTTAGCGGATGGCTTCTTCTGTACGGCTTCCACTTCGTTGTTATTGTTTTGAACAGTGTTGTTGTCGTCGTCTTGAATGGTTATAACATTGGAATGCGAGTCTACCTCGGCGGCAGCAGGAAGAGCTGGAGGAATAACAGAGGCTGCCGAAGCAGGGGTAGGAGGACTTGTTGCAACTGCAGGAGTAGCTGGGGAAGCCGATGCGGAAGGTGCTACGACGGAAGGCGGAGTTACTTGAGCGGAATTCCTTTGCATGGCTCGCACTTCCAAGCCACAGACGAGCTGCATGATTTTGGCCTTGCCCTCTGCGGCCAAATCCGCGGGCAGGGACTTCATCGTAGGCGCAATGCTGTCGAAGAAGAGATCCAATACATGACGCGGCTCCGGCGGCTGGACAGCGGTCACCGCGACTGATGCCGGCGGCGCCTGCGCCGTGGAATCGCCTTGAGCGGCCGACTCCCGCTCCAGAGTTCGCAGGCGCGAGACAATGTCGAATGAGGAGCATATCATGTCCTTGGCCATGTCAATCTGGGAGCGCTCCTCGTGCCGCTTGCCCATGGAGTCGCGAAGGGCGCGTAGCAAGCGGCGAACCTCCATGGAGCGTCGCGAACGCTTCGCCGGGGGCTCCGCCGTGCTGCCATCGGATCTGGAGGGTCAGAAAGTTAGTATACCTCTGCCATACATATTTTACAGCAATACTCACCTAACGCTAATGTCGCCGTCGCTCTCCTTGTCCATTCCCGACTCCTGCCGCTCCGCCTCCACAGTGGAGGTGGTGGTGCTTACGGATGGAGCGTCCGCAGCAGCGGCGGCGGCTGCCCGATGCCGCTCCACATTCTCGGCATGCTTGCGCGAGGCGTCGTGTTGGCGCAGATAGAAGACCTTGATGGGCAGCCGGGTATCGCAAATGCGGCAGTGGCAGTGGTTCTCATCGTTGGCATCGGGATCCAACCAGTTGTACTTGGCCTGCAGCTCTGCCATGGCCGCCTTTTGTCTAGCCTCACCGCTGGCCAAAGCCGAGGCGGTGGCCACAACGGCGGAGATTTCGGGAGGGCTCTTAACCGCAGATGCTGCTGCTGGTAATGGTTTGCCATTATTGCGCTTCCGATCGATGCGCAGGCGAATGTGACGGGAAGTTCTCTGATGCTTGGAGGCCCACTTGGAGGAGGGCAGGTAGAGGGACGTCTCGCAGAGCTTGCACCAGGCGTAGTTGCCGCGCAGCTCGTTCTTTTTGTACGAGAGCCACGGGAAGCGGCCCTTCCACACCATCACCTTGCCCTTCATGGTGGCCGGAATGGGCTTGACGAACAGTTTGCCGGCGCGACGAGCCTTCTTTCGCGTCTGCACGGTGCCGGAGTCTGTGTTGCTCTCCGCATCCTCCTCCTCCTCCTCCTCTTCCTGCTCTTCCTCCTCCTCCTGCTCAACCACCTCTTCTTCCTCCTCCTCCTGCCGCTTGTTTCTAGTCTGCTTCATTGAGCCCTGCGGCTGCTTAGCCTGACGCGCCTTGAACTGCTTTATAAGCTTCACATGCCGGGCACTGTATTCATGGCGGGCTTTCGCCGATTCGTTGTGGAAGCGTACGCGGCAGAATTTGCAGATCTGTGTCTTGCGATCCTTGGAATAGCAAAGCCACGGGTAAAAGCGCACACCGGCGCGTGCCTTGGCCTTTCTGGGCTCAATGGCGGCCTTGGCAGCAAAGCTAGAAATAGTTGTAATAATAATATTAGAAAGAGTAACTAAGAAAGTTTTATAAACAATGGTTATACCCCTTTCCGCCTTTCTGTGTCTCCGACCAATTGTCATCGTCATTATCCTCGCTGCCCTCGCTCTCCGATCGAGCCTCTGATTGGGCTGCCTCACTGGCGGGCACTTCCTCCGCCTCCGCAGCTTCCTCGGCTTCGCCTGCATCTTCGTTTTCCTTTTCCTCAGCCAATCCAGCTTCAATCGCTGCCTTTGCGGCGGCCACTGCCGACGTATGCTTTTCGGACTTCTCGTGGTTCTTGCGTTTAATCTCCGAGTTGCCGTACATGAAGCGCTTGCGACAGACGCTGCAGTAGCCAATACTGGGGTCATCTGGATCGGCGATCAACCAGGGATGCAGCTCGGCAAACACAGACCAAACGCCGCGGATATCTTGGGACCTAAAATCGGAATTTGAGAGGATTAAAATGATAGTTTTTCCTTATCTAGCAGCACAATACGCACCCCTTTTCGGCGGGCGACACAAGTTTCTGGCAATGCAGCCTGGTTTTGCAGTGTCTAAGAAAACTGGTGATCGCCATTGTGCAATCACAAAGCGTGCAGCGGCACTGCTGTGGATTTGTGTCCGGAATCAGCTCACACCACTTGCTGGGATCCTCGTCCTTGTTTAACTCGCCGTTCATCATCACCACGGCGGTGTCCTGCGTCTCCTCCGTCTCCGCCTCTTGCTCAGATTCCTTCTCCTTCTCTGGCTCGCCCTCGTCTTCGACTCCGGTGCTCGTGCTCTTGCTCCTCTTCCGCTTGCGACTGGGCTTATCGGATTCCTGGTTGCGCAGCGCCTCCAGATGACCCTTGGTGGTCTCGTGCCGCTTGCGCAGATAGACAAACTCCACGTTCATGCGCACGTTGCAGACGCGACATGTGCCGATGGTTCCGGTGGGCTGGGCGCGCTCCAGCCAAGGATGCCAGCGCAGCCAGCGCAACCAGTTGAAGTTGTTGAAGGCCTCGGTCTCGGAGGCCCGCTTCTGCTTCATGGCGGCCACATAGCTCTTGGTGCCGAACTCGTGTTTCACCTCGTTGTCACTGGTTCTACGGAAAATGTTTTAAATTATAATTAGGGAATGGACTAATGGAATTTTTCGGAATATTGCAAGGGATTTTTAGCTGTTTTGTTAAGAGATATTTCCCATTTTCAAAGAATGCAATATTCTTGTAAATGACTATCAATTAACTTTGATTAACTGACTAATGACTACTAGAATATCTTACTGCAGCTTGTGTTAAACAAATGGGACACGTAGACTAATTAATGTTCGACTGAATGAAATTAATGGTACTACGCCTTTATTTTAATTCGCATTTAATCTGATAAGAAACTCTTTAAATGCTTTTCAGAGTAACTCATTTCAACTGTAATTGATTGAAGCACAATTTCTCTATTTTTAATGAGCAGTATTTTTAATGTTGGACTTTTAATCAATTACAAGGGGAGTTCAAGAGTTCAGCTGGTACTTTTGTTTGTATGACCATTTCCAAAAGTGTGTAAGAAATTAAGTGTGGGGCACTTGACATTTCGAGATTTTTAAGTGCATTTTGTTAGAACTGCTTGAAATAGAAGTCGGATATGGAAAATATAAATTTTCTTAGTTTTTTTTTCAAGTTTTAAGGCTCAGATGACACATTCAATTTTTAGCGACAATTTATTGTGACAATTTTTCATTTGTGTGATTTTAAAGAAGTGCAAGCGAGTCAGGATTAATATAATATCGGGCCTTTGTTATTGGTGTAAGTGGTAGAGCAGTCAAAAATATTCGATTCTTTCTCGCGCTTGCTTAAAGTCCCATTAAAGAAAAATTGCTACAATAAATTGACGTTACAAATTGAATGTGCCATCTGATCCTAAATGAACCAAGAAATAATTAGCTATAGGCTTTTCAGCAATACGATAATCAACAGGGGTTTTTTTTTTATTTTAAACTAATACTTTTAAAAAATTAAAAAAAAAAGGAATAATACGGGATAATAATCCAAAGAGCTAGTACTTACGCTCCCCTCGTCTGCTCCTCGCTCCTCTTGAAGGCCAAGTAGTTGGCCTCGCGTTCCTGGTGATAGAGCGACATGTTGTGCTGGTTGATGTGCCTGGAGCGGTTGTTCACGTTGATGTTCATGTTGCAGTACAGGCAGAAGGCTAAGGTGCCGTCGGAGGCCTCGTGGAGGATCCAGGGCCACCGCTTCATCCAGATGAGCCAGCGCTGCGAGCGGGGCATCTGGCGGCGGGATGCGTTGTTGCCGCCATTGCTGCTCTCGCTGAAGTCGTCGTCCTCGTCCTGGCTGTCGGCCGCCTCCTGGCTGTCGATCCGCTCCAGCAGGCCCATGGGATCGTGGTACGAGTGGTTGCTCTCGCCGTCGCTCGAAGGCTCGGTTTTGGTGGACATGGTGTCGGGCTCACGGTCCGGATCCTCCAGCAGCGGATCCTCGCTGGCCGGCTTGTCATCTGGATTATTCAAAGCCGACTGCAGTTCCGCCACTGCGCCAGCATGATCATCGTCCACATCCACATCCACATCCTCAATGCCCGCATCATCCGGCAGCGGCTGCTCGTCCTCGTCCACCTCCATCACCGCGTCGCCCTCGTCGTCGTCCACCAGGATGACCATGGGATCCTCCGGCTCCTCGACAGGATCCACCGCCACCACCGCACCGCCCTCCACGTCCATGATTTTCAGCTCGTGCGTCGCCGACGCCAGCGTTTCGGAATTCGCAGACGCCATTTTGAGACCGGCGTCCCCTGAACCCACCGAGTTTTTCGCCTGCCCGCCGTTCTCCTGATCCATCGCCAGGTGCTCCAGGTCGCTGGTTATCCAGGCACTTTGCTCTCTGCTTTGCCAGCCGTCTCGCAATCACAGCATGCGTTGAAAACTTAAACAAATGGCGAAAATTGCAAGCGAAACTCGAGTGCAATTTTTTAAGTCGCTGTCGAGTATGACCGTTTCGCCGCATTAAACCGGCGGGCTGCGAACCGAATACTAAAAGTGAAAGGAAAATACCAAAGATGCAATGGTGGCTTCCCACTGATCATGATCGAAAGTGATCGTCACACTGTGGCAGCATTTTGAAAACTGGTGATCATTTGCATTTTTAAAATCAAAACCGTTTTGCTGAAGTCGAAAAATATATAGAAAAAGAAAATCAAAATTCTTTAAGTTTAAGTGACAATATAGGACGAAATATAAGTTACTTTAGTTTTTCACACATTTTAAATTGCTCATTTAAAGTTTACTTTAGACTTTTATTTTCCTAAACTTAAATAAAAGGCGGCTTAGTTCAAGAACATTTAAATAAATTAATTGGATGACAGCTCTAAACAAATGCCGTTTTAACTTACTTTAAGTGACAATATATTACATCATATATTTTATTCTAGCTTTTAATCACACTTTTTAAATTGCTCATTTAAAATCTACTTTTGACTTTAATTTATCTAAACTTAAATAAACAAAGGTTTAATTCAAGAGCATTTAAATAAATTAGCTTAACAACCCTAAGCAAATCGCGCTTTGTGATATTTCCTATAGAACCGCAACACGGTCATATCATTTTGATTTTGTTTATATTTTGGAAAATAACTTCCGAAATGTCTAACCTCCAGCTAACTCAGGAAAAACTGTGAGTATTTTGATTCCCCTAAGCAGGAACTATAGCTCACAGACTCTATATCCCACCAGAGATGCCCTACGCTCCGAATACAGGCCACGCCGGCCGTGCGCCCTGCTGAAATACCCGCGACCCAAGACGAAGCCCGAGTACCAGGCGATTTACCCCTGGCTGCTCCCGGATGAAACGGATCCGCACTTCGTCTTCTGCGCCGTCTGCGAGTGCAGGCTCAGCTGCAAGAGATCGGATCTGGGGAAGCACGAGGGCAGCATCAAGCACTCGGAAAATGCCCAGCGAAAAGCATTGCCGGTAAAAGAAAACCATCCGGAGGCGGAAGGCCTTGGATCCGGCGTGATGAAGTGGGAGTACAACGAGGACGAGGAGGGTCTGCTACCATATAGTGCAGATGCCCCAGACGACGAGACGGAGGAGGAGGAGGGCGAGCCGGACGAAACCGAGGCGGATTGCGAGGACGACGAGGAGCAGCAGCCTCAGGAACTGGAGGCCCACAACGATCTCGAAACGCAGCCGCCCGCCATCAAGCAGCAGCGTCGCATCTCGGAGACGGACTCACAGCATTCCGGCATGCTGGACTATCTGCCGCTCCATGTGACCATCAACGAGTTGCCTGCGAGTGTTCCGTCCACTGTCGCCTATCCCACCTCTTCCACGGCAACAACAGCGGCCACGCCCTGCAGGATTACCATTAAAAAAGTGCCCGCGCCCAGTACTCCGCCCAATGCGATTTGCCAGGCCCAGGAGATCAGTTCCAAGGCCACCATTACGCCGATACACACCACGCCCTCCTACGCCGCCCGGCAGCTGCAATCCTATCAGCTGCAGCAGGTGTCGCCCATAACGCCACCGCGCGACTCCCTCGAACTCTTCTTCGACAGCATTTGCGCCACCGTCAAGAGTCTGCCGCCCAAACTGGCCACCGAGGGCAAGATCCGGGTGATGCAGCTCATCGGGGAGCTGGAACTGCGCGCCCTCGGCGAGCAGGAGGCATCTTCTCAGGCCGCCGGACATCAGGGTCTCGATCTCGCCGGAAGCTCGCCGTCCGGAGCAGCCGAAGCGCCGGGCAGTGGTCAGCAGAACGCCACGGTGGCCTCCACCACCAAATGAACTTAACAAAACCGGAAAGCGGTTTCAAAACCAGGCTCAAGTTGGCGAGCTAGAATTTCTAGTGCTTTCATTTTGAAATTTTGTTAACTGATTTTCTTGAATAAAGTTATTTATTAGTTGTTGTATGTTTCGATTCCCTTTAATTGTTGAGATATATAAGTCTGATAATGGCAAATTTTAAAACTTTTTTATATATCAGAAACTCAATTAGCTGCCCTGTAATCAATCCATGTAGAACATTAATTGAATGATGGTAGTAATAATAATTTTGGTCGACCATATCTTTTTAAATTTATCATAAGGGAACTCACTAGCCCTGATAAGGTAATACAAATTATCTTTGTCTCAAACAAATAAAAAGTTAGATAATAAGTTTATCGCATGATTTTTATGTACGTTCCCGCTTTATCAAAGGAATTTCCCAATAGTACAATTTTAAGAAATGCACTACAGAGGATTTATAAATATCAGTTAATAAATCTTTATTTGTAAAAATGTAAAAGTGATCGAAATAAAAAAGTGTTATAAGTAAGGCACTTAGTTAATTAATATGCAGAAAGCGTCCCTCTTAGAAGGCAGGTTTTCCCTCCAGCATGGCTTTTCCGCAGTAGAACGGAAATTGCACTCCCTGGAGTAGAATATCCGCTATGCCCTGCAAGTAATAACGAAACGAATCGGTTAGTTTTTCTAGGGAGTGGGTGCGAGTTGGCCTGAAATCAGGGCCAGATATCGGTGTTGCCCATAAGCCCCGCTAGTGGGTGTGATAAGTCCGCGAAATGACTAATTGGTTAAAAATCTGAACGGTCCGATAACGAAAGTGCCTCATGCAACTTACTGGTAAAACTTGACTCACACCCCAAATGAAGGCAATCATATAACCACTTACCGTAAGGGCGGGAATGCAGGAGGCAAATGCGTAGACCCAAATGTAGCAGAAGGCGCAGAAGAATGCCACGAAGAAAGAGACGAACCAGAAGACCAGCAGCCAGAAGATGAACCACAGTGGATTGGGCATCGTGATGAGTGGTGTTGTTTGTTCAGAGTTATTTCAGCTGTGCGATAAGATAAATAAAAGCGATCTTATTTAGTGGGTGGGCTAAGAAACGAAGCTTATCAGGCGCCATCTACATGGAGCGGATCTCATTAAAATTTCAAGATATTAGAACACGCTCGTATTGAACAATTTTTTTTTTAAATTACGCTGATTCCCTCTTAAAAACACATGTCGCAAATTAAAGTAATATAATACGCGTACGCTCCCTAAAAGTAACCAAACAAAACATACCAGATAAGGGATATTCATATTAGCACATGTCCAAAATAAAACTAATTTAATTAAAAGCGGTTAAAATACGTCACTGTTTTTTTAAGCTTATTTTTTATCACTCTATCAGTGTCCCAATTTAAGATAGCGAATGTCATAACCATTCGGGCAAGTAAATCCTTCAATAAACCCCATTTGTGGCTGAATACTCAACTCATTTATAAATAGTTTTTAGTCATAGATATGCAATTTATAATTATACTAACTCAAGGTTTGAACAAATGTGCCAAAGCTTAATTTAACAATAAAACAGTATTTTGTATTTAAGCAATGTCTTTCGGTATTCTAAAATTTTAAAATATTTAGCTTTCTCCAACAAATAATACGTAACTTTCGTTAAATATTACTAAAATATGCATTTTTTCAGGTTTTTCCATAGCAACTGCATTTGAATGGCTTTCTTCTGCATTTAGATTTCACTTTTGAGTCGTGACAAACATGCAAACGACCGATTTGGGTTGGTTTTCAAACTGATTTTAGAAACACTGACGTCAGAACTGATTGTGCCCAAAAAAAGGCACCTGGCGAAGTGTAAGGCCAAGACCTCGACCGCCGATCTCGTACCGAATTCCATGATCAAGTGCTGATTACAGTCGCCTCAAAACAAATGTCGTCATTATGCAAATTCCTAAAAAGTACTACTTTGATGGGTGTGTCGCCTTAAGTCATCCCCCGTCTTAAGTCATCATAAAAACAATTGCAGATCGCCGACAAACCGGTTGGCACAATTAACACTCGGTGAAATTCAGATTAATTAGACCAGCCGAATCTGAAGTATGTGCCAATTAATAGGCGTACGCCAAAAACTACGCGTACATAAATACTTTATAAATACTTTTTACCGCGCACCCACGTACGATTGAAAACAACTTAACAGCAGAATGCCAGAGAGCCAAAGCAAACAATAACAAACCAAGTAGTAGTAGATGCGATCGGAGGTCGACGTCCGGGGGATTCGAGAATGGATGGAAGAATGAGGATCGCAAACCGGCGCAACAAGTTGCATGCCCACTACAAACAGGGTTGTCACCGGTCTCTCCCGATGCAGAATTTCGACTAAAAGCTTTGGTAAACAGCTTTTGCTTGCGTGGGCTGATTCTATAGTTTCAAAAATGGTACTTTTAATTTTATAAATTTAAATTTTAAAGATAATTTTAGTTTAATATATATTTAGAAAATAAAATAATAATAAAATGAGGCTAAATATGTTTTAAATAACTATACTATAATTAAAATTATAACTATAATAATAAATCACTAATAGCTTATAATTATAATACTTTTTTAGTATTTAAACACATTTTAAGCTTTGTTTATATATTTCTGTCTTAACATAACACACTATATGAAAAACAACATAAATAAATTATTATTATTTTGAGTTGTATTTTAAAATAGTCCCTAAGCGTTATTGTTGATCAAATAGAAACTTTTACAAGTCAAGTGATATTTATGGCATTTTATATTCTGTCTGAACTTGAATGACTTATTTATGTCTTTTGATACGCCCCGTGTTAGTTTGTCTTATTTATAATTTTTGGTATTTCAACTTTATGTGTGAATAAATGGAAAAAAGAAAAAGAAATAGACTGTTAAAGTATGTGAAATACAGTTGCCAATACCCTTATCACCAGAATTTATCAGTCAAATGTTTGGCCATTCCGTTTATGCCTTTTAGCGCTTATCTTAGCCAGTGCCGCATTCCGTTTCCCGGCCAGCCATCAATCGAAGCTAAGAATAAAAACTTGGCCAACCTCAGCTTCGTTTTGGGAAAGCTCTTCGTGCCGCAAGAGGAATTTCCACCAGACCAGCCGAAAATGGTAAACTGTTATACCCCCTCGTTACTACCAACAACTGTGTGCACACAGCTGAAGGCTAAAAGCTTTATGCGGCTGCTTGTCAATGTTTTCATATCAAATTTCCTATAATATGTAGACCCTCCTTCCATTTCCACTCGTACAGCAGTGTGTGTGTGAGCGTGGCCAAAAAGTTTTTCATCCCGGACGCCGACGCCGCATTTTGCAGCTGTTGTTGTGGTCGGCTGCTGTTTTCTCCGATTCTCCGCATTCTGTTGCGAGTCGTCGGTCACGCTGGTTCCGATTTTCTTCCGGTTGAGAACGAAGGAAAATATGTAAAGAAAAAATATATATACCTAAAATTAATAAATAAGCTTAATACATTTGAAAATACAATATACCCCAAACTGGAATCGGTTTTAAAAGAGTTTTCAAATCTTTGCCAAAATATGTAGCATACTGTTTGCTACACAGCAAATCAGCTGTGTGTGAGAGAGGAAAAGAGAGAGCTGGCTGTGTGTGTGTGTGTGTAATACGGACTTGAAACGCGTGCGATCGATTTTCGGTTGTTTCATAAAAACAAACCAAAACAATTTTTGAAAAAAAAAAATAGAAAACAAAAAATAATCTTTGGAACTTATTAACCACTAATTAGCAATTAAGAACAACAACATTTTCCAAATTAAGAGCTTGTCAAATAAACAAACAAAGCGGCCACTTGAGATAATGAAATTTTGTACGGTTCGCCAGAGCAACAACAAATGCGGCAAAGTGTCGCAGGCCAAAGTTTTCGATTTTGATTGCGAACAAAAACAAGCTAAAGCTTCGGGCCAAAAATAAAGAGAGAGAGAGGGTATAACAGTCGCTCGAAAGCTGCGAGAGAAAGCGTGGCAGTCCCGCTATTTTGGCGAGCGGGCGAGAGCGGAAAAGCCTTGTCCGTTTTTCCGCGCTTAGCCCGTGTTTGTGTGTGTGTCGGTGTGCCTGTGTTTTTCGAACAGTTTAAAGTACGCATTGCGATGCCTTCTGGCTTCAGTTTAGCTAGAGACATCGTCGTGTTTTGAGCGGCCGACACATTTTCCGAGCCCAGCGGATCGAGCGGTCTACGCCACACACTAGTTTTCAATTCAGTGCGCAAAATAAACCAAAAAGAAACACAGGAAAAACAGCTAGAAAAGGCAAGATAAAGAGGAGACAACCGCACAAAGTAAACCCAAAGGCAGACTATTCATTTTCAAAAGGAAAACCCCCGTCTCTCTCTGTTTTTCAAGCCAGCTCTTTCAAACAAACACACACATACAGTGGCTTGCATATGGCATAACATGGCCAGAAAAGGATATTCATTAGCCCGAATTAGTGTGTGATAAAGTGAAGTTTTGGTGCGAAAGTCCGGTATTCAATGCAATCAGTCCCTCAGTTTATTTACAGTTTGGAAAATTAGTAAATCGGAGATACGGAGAAGTTTTCAAAACAACATACATAAAGAGAGACATGAAGTGAGCGGCCGAAGGCAGAACTTTTAGAACACAAAAGGTGAGTCTTTAATCTCTACAGAAAATAATGATAATTTGCATTCGACTTTCTCATAAATAGTCAAACTTTTCAAACAGCAATCAGTGTAAATTTAAAAATGTTTAAAGACTATAAGATATTGATTAATTACCTCTCCACCTCTTGACGTATGTATTATGAAGTCTAAATTTACTTTATTTTAATAGCCCCCTTTGTTGTTAGAATTTAATACATTTTGTGTACAAACAATTATAATAAGTAAATGTTTTTTTCATAAGTCATATACAAAATTGTTGCCTTCCCTTAGAAGTATTGTTTTGGTTGTGGAATTTCTTGTTCGATTTTAGCATTTAACGATTTTTGATGAGCTCCGTGATCCGTGAAGTCTTCAGCACACACACAAAAAGAGGGAGAGAGATGGAGGGGTTGGGGATACAACGGGATACCAGGGAAATGGGAGAGAGTCTTACAAATTCATAATTTGTCTGTTTACATACGAGGACCTGGTCACTGGTATTGGTGGTTTATCGAGTCGGGCTGCCTCAATGTCCGCCCGCTTGTACCACCCCGCCCCTTTCATCCCTCCACCCCGCACGTTTCCCAGAACGAAAGCGAAATTATTTTTTTTGTTTGGTTTTTTTTTTTTGGGGGCACGTAGGCTCTATAACTTCCGCTCGGTCGGCTCACGCGCACACCTGTACCCACTCTCATACAGAAACTTATACACACTTTTTGGCAACTCACATCGAGGGCGAGCACATTTAAAATTCTGATGAAAAGACACTTTTACTTTATTCTTTCACTCGACGCCACACGGAGAAAAATTCATAAAATGTCATATACATTTCGTCGGAAAAGTTCTTATTGCTATTTATATAGCCATGTCTTTAAGACTAGTACGGTTTGGTATTCCAAAAAAACGTTTTGGAAACTATTAAGACACCATTCAGATTAAAAATATTCTTGATATAAATATTTGCTAAGTAGATAGATATCAGTTTTAAACGTGTTTTAAAGTTATGTGGTAATATTAAAGTTGAATTTTATGATTATAACATTTCTGTTCTCAGTGTTACTTTGGCACCGGTTTTTTCATTTTTTTCGATTGTTGTGTGCCCGAGTGCGTGAGTGCGCTTAATTCGTGTGTGTGTGTAAATATTTTGCTTGATTCGCCGACGCACACACTCTCGCATTCCCTCCCAGTCGCCCACATGTCGCTTAATTCAACTGTCGATTTATCACACTTAACCCAAACACACGCCGTGCACTATACACTACATACTGCCGTATACTATCCACCATAATCCGCACATATCATGCAGCATCATCATCATCATCCCATGATCATCGCGTCGTCATCAACCGGCGGCTTATTAGGTACAAACGCTGATTAGTTGTCCAGATTCATGCGATTGCGTGCTGGGCTCAGTTTAGTTTCTGTCCTATTCCGTATATTTGTTTGTGTCTTTTTTTGGCTGGGGAACTATTTACATACCGCCATCAGATACATTTATATCCACGTATCCATGGGATGGCGCAAATGCGACTAACTAGCTTGCTGTGGGTGTCTGATTCGGTTATGGTTCCTTTTTTATGGGTCTGTGAACTGCATTCTTGATTGAGATTTATGTTGCATATATGCGCTTTTATTACAAAATTATTATACATTTTGTTACACGTTTTTTGTTCCCAATCTACACGAATGTTAATCCGTTTGGGTTGTAAGTTTAATCAAATACTTTTTGGTTTTTCGGTGTTTTAGTACCCCGTAAAACATACATTTTATTACACTATTTTTCGTACAGAGCCAAGCGAAATGTTTGTACCTATATTTTTTATAAACGAATCAAATGAAAATATTGTGTTATTTTCCTTTGTGATTATTACATCAATTTACAAATATTTTACTGAAAATATACAACGAGTTTTATCCATTTTTCCTAGTGAAGTCTGTAAAACTTTTAAATTGTGTCTTGCTTTTACCTGGTAATCCGAGTAAAGTTAACTTTATTTCTTTATATCATGGCTGATATACAATAAATAGATAAATGTCATTTTATTTATAGTAAAGAGAAAGAAAGAATGAATTATATTAAACTTTGGTGAATGCATTTTTTCATGATGTGATTAATTCCGGGCAAACACTTTCCAATACGCAATCAACCATTGCTTGACAATTCAAAAAACGCATTCAAATGCCATTAATTCAATTTGTCATTTGTTTGCCTTCAGGAATTAAATATAATTGGATGCCGCTGCTGCGGACTTCCGTTTATCAGTGGTTTATCCATTATCCAACCGAATCCATCAATTCGACGCACAATGCTCCCCACAAACTGAAAACTGCCTGCAATTGCCCCATCTCTCTTTTCCGCCGGGGGAAAGTGCAATTTCCCAGTGCCTAGCACTGAAACTCTGGCATGAGATGTTCAAGTTAATTGAATCAGTTGCAAAAAAATGATTAAATCACAAAGGCAACCGCCGGGCGTGGGAACTCCGACTCGTTGCTTTGTGTCGAAATAAAATTCAGAGGGCTTTGCAAACATAAAGGCCGAGCACAAAACACCAAACACACGGCAAACAGGACTCACACACAAAAAGCGAACAAAGAAAAGGTGCAAGGCTTAAAGCGTGAAACACTTGAGAATTGTTTTACACTTTTCCGTTTGCGTTCGGATTTTCCACTCCACTTTTTTTGTTTTTCCTGAATTTTTCCTCATATATTTTCAAATAATTCGCTGAAAGCCAAAAGGCAGCCAGCAACCGAGGAATTGGAGTTTCTCTGCAGCCCGTGGGGAGTGCAACGCTTTTCCACTTTGCTCCTTCTGCATTTCACGGAGAATCGACAAACTCATAAAAGTCTTGTTCTCGTGTTCCAAGCGGGTAACACGCGAAAATATGCAAATAAAATTCCATAAAACAATGCGAAGGACAAACAAACAGGCGAGCATAAAAAGCCAGCAATAAAATTGAAACAAAGGGGACAGTTTTATACCCTCGGCTAATATGAATATTGAATGTCGAGCTAAGAGAAGACCCAAGAAAAAGTTTTTTATTCTAACGAAAGTCCTGTTGACTTAAGATACTGGAGACATAAAGTTCTAGAAATTCATTTTTGTGAATTTAATAAACCTCTGAAATTAAAATTGACTCTGGTCAATACCCAGTTCATACCCAGTAATAAATAACATTTTTGTTCATAAATACTTAAAAAAATCTTTAATATTTTTAACAGTGAATTATTTTACATTTTATGATAACGGATGTTTTTAGTTGGTTTGGTTTTGATGACTTTATTTGTTTTGATCGGAATTATATGAATATAAAACATTAATAGTATGTAAACAAGTTTAAAAATTATACAAATCGAGTTGTATAATCAGTTTCAAAGTGTTTATATTCCAACCCAGCTATATCAAAACTGTATATAACCCATACAACGCTGGTAATCCATGGAGGAGTGTGTCTGGACTCGCACGAAGACAAGCACTTGGTAAATGGGTCGTAGCTCGTCCGTTGGAGCAGCATTAAAACGCAATTTTATTGCATATCCTCGCGGGCTTTGGGCAGGCCATCATTGTCTTAAGGGTCCGGCGATGACAGACCAGCTACAGCTACGGCTACCAAATTGAACTTAACCGAACTGAGCCAAACCAAAACTCACGCAACACAAGCGAAAAAAAAAAGAAAGCAGAAAACAGACTGAGAGCCGCAGACAAAAGACACAAACAGAAACACAGGGAATTGTTTAACATTAGTTTTATGCGATCCTTTTATTTGTCTGTGCTTTAGCTACTTTTATGGGTTTTCCTGTGGTCTTGGCTTCTGAATGTTGGTGTTTCCCTCTTGGCCATTGCCCGGCGATAATAGCGCGATTTGTTGTCTGCTGCAGTCTCATTAGATTTTAGAACTAGAATCAGTTGCAGCAACATGGCATTGTACAAAGCGATAAGAAATATGTATTTGAATTTCTCTTTAATTTTCACTTTGATTTTAAAAGAATTTACAGTCTTTATTATTAACTTGACTTTATTCTTTTTAAAAGAACATTAGTTTTTTTAAATAAATTTTTTAAAAATCATAAATATTAATTTTAAGACTTTTTTAAAACCCAGATCATTAGTTAACCGCACAAATAATTACTTCCAATAATCAATATTGAGAAAATAGTTTTATAATTGTCATTAAAAGACAGCTAGTTGCCGCTGGATAGCAAAGTTTAAAGTATTTTTATAGCCCGATGTAGTGAAATGCGCATCAGGGCACGGGACTATAAGCTCTTTTTTCTACGCCATTTTTACAGGCAGATAATCACTTATAAGCATACACACACACGCTTTGAGACCGTGACGTGTACTAGGAATAAGCCGCTTGATGTGTGTGTCTGTCTGCGTTAGCCAGCGTGTGTGTGTGGGCCCTGCTGCTCTGGGCATTAAAAGTAACCCAGGGTAAAATAAAAGCAAGTGCCAAGTGTGGCGCATGTGCCACTCAAAGGCAAACAAATGCGAAGTTCTGCTGTTTCTTGGGGAATACGCGGCGTATGCGCGATTTTAGTGTGATTGTATTCGCCCGGCTTTGCCCGTAAATCGCTCACCGAGGTTTTTGCTGTTCTAATCGCCGGTGCTACCAGCTTTGGCTTTGCTTTAACACGCTCAGATTAAAGTTGAATTGCATTAGCGATTTGAAATGTCGTCGCAGTACTTGTATTTTCCATCCATTCCATTATAATAAATATTTATTTAAGATCTTTTAAAGGTAATTTTACAAAGTTACTTTAATAGATTTATTTATTTAATTTGTATTTCTTTCTCAAAAATGGAAAAAAAATCATATAAAAAAAACCATGATATTGCATTTTTAACTTAATTTAGTTGGTAAACTTTTTGCCACACAAATAAATTTCTTTCCTTTTATGATAAATCAAATTAATTTAATCAATACCCAAAGCCGTTATTTTAGTTGAACTTTTTATCAAACGCATCAAAGGCAAATAATAAAATGAATTAAAACGTTAAACCGTA